CTGGTTTCCCACAGAACAGCAGAGCAGGAGCCACAGAGGCCCTGTGCAGAGGAAAGTGGTAAAAGGTGAAAAAAAAAAAAAAGGAAGGTTATTTCACCCCCATCCAAGCCCCCAGGAAACAACTAAGCTCTTATTTGAGAAACCGGTCACTGGGAAGCTACAGGCAGCCGCTGTGAGCAACAAGGGCCTGACAGAGCCCCAGGGAGCAGCCGAAGTGACACGGCACACCTCACCTCTCCTGCCCAGGCGCCTTCCCCCGCAGGTTGTCGTACATGTCGCAAATCTTCTGCTTCCTCTCGCCCACGAGGGCCGGCCGCTCGCCCTCCAGGCTCAGCAGGTAGCGCCGCTCGTAGTCCTCCACATCCAGGAGGAGGCTGTAGGTCTGCCGGAGAGACGAGGATGGCAGCGGGACAGGGGGATCCGCGCGCTCCTCGATGGGATTCCGAGTGGAATGAGCCCTCTGGGCTGCACGGTGGCCCTCGCTGGCTCCCACTTTGCCCCAGAGCGGATCCATGCAGGCTGCGGGAGCCCCTCACCTTCTCGATCGTGACGAGGGTCTGACGCCGCTTGTCTCGAACCTGCTTCTCCTTGGTCTCCTGCGGGAAGGGGAGCCGGTGAGAGCCGGGGCTGCCGCCCGCGCTGGCTGCGGGAGGGAGGGCCGGGACTCACCTCGTCCTCGCCACGGGAGGTGACGACAGCGTCGATCATCTTTCGGGGGTTGTTCACGCTGGAGACCGTGAGTTTCCCCAGTGAGCCCTCAAACTGCACTACAGGGAGAAGGGGAGCGAAGGAAGTCGGCCTGCGCCCGAGCCCGCATCGCCCGGGTTTGTCTGCACTCCTCAGCGTTGTCCCCAAAGTCAAGCCCACGCCGGAATCTCCTGCTCGCAGCCCGGGATGAACCAGCATCCCCCACCTGCAGAGGTCGGGGCTTCACGTCCCGAGCTGCCACTGTCCCCACTGCCGCCCGGGACGTGGCCAGCGCTTACCCGGCTTGTAGGTGTGCTCCAGCTTGGCCACCTGAGGCGTGATGAGTTTAGTGCGTTCCTTTTTGGGACCGTCACCCTGGACTTCCTCAGCCGCTGACAACTTCTCCAGCTTCTGGAAGTAATTCTGAGGCAAAGAGAGAGGGGCAGCTGTGACACGCAGCACGAACGTCCTCAGGGCAGCCCAGCCTCCTGGTGCGTCACGGGAGGACCCTGCCCTCTCCCCGGTGTCCCCTCGCACCGCAGGGCCTCTCGTGACGCCAACGGCCGCCTCCCGGGCGTCACAGACACCAGCCGCCTCTTTTAGAAACCCCGGGGCTGACTCGCTTCCCGGCTGCAGCCGCACACATCCCTGTCCCCTGCCGGGATCAGCTTGATCCCGTCTCCTGGGGGAAAACCCCGCAGCGCTCCGCTCCGCGCGTGCCGCCAGCCCGAGAGCGCCCACCGAGACCTACTGCCTGCGCCCGCCTCCGTTCGCTCCATCCAACCTTGCTCCCTCCGACCGCCAAGGCACCGGAGCGGCCGCCCTCGGACGAGCCCTCGGCGGCCGCTCATCCTCCCGCCGGGGGGCTGCC